AATTATAATCTTTCTATAAAAGATGATAAGAATAACTTCATTGCTACAGTGCCGATGTCAAAGAATAGAATGTTCTTGATCAACATACAAAATGATGTTGCAAAGTGCCTGAAAGCTTGCTACAAAGATGCATCATGGCTTTGGCATCTTCGATTTGGGCATCTCAATTTTGGAGGTCTAGAGCTGTTATCTAAGAAGAAGATGGTGAAAGAACTACCTCGCATCAACCATCCTGACCAGCTTTGTGAAGGGTGTCTAATCGGGAAACAATTCAGGAAAAGTTTTCCAAAGGAGTCAGAGACAAGAGCCAAGAAGCCACTTGAGCTCATCCATACCGATGTGTGTGGACCGATCAAGCCAAACTCTCTCGGTAACAGTAACTATTTCCTTCTCTTCATTGATGATTTTTCAAGAAAAACCTGGGTATATTTCTTGAAACAGAAGTCAGAAGTTTTTGAAGTCTTCAAGAAGTTCAAAGCAGCAGTGGAGAGAGAAAGCGGTAAAAAGATCAAAGCCATGATATTCGATCGAGGTGGAGAATTTACTTCCAGGAAGTTTCAAGAGTTCTGTGAAGCAAATGGAATTCATCGACCAATGACAGTTCCTAGATCCCCCCAGTAAAATGGTGTGGCAGAAAGAAAAAACAGAACAATCCTAGACATGGCACAAAGCATGCTCAAAAGCAAGAAACTACCCAAGGAATTTTGGGCGGAAGCAGTAGTGTGTGCAGTCTACTTGACAAACCGATCTCCAACAAGAAGTGTATGGGGAAAGATACCGCAAGAAGCATGGAGTGGAAGAAAGCCTGGCATTTCCCACTTGAGAACCTTTGGAAGTATAGCCCATGTACACATACCAGACGAGAGAAGAATGAAGCTTGATGATAAAAGCGAGAGTTTTATCTTCATCAGCTATGATGCTAATTCGAAGGGCTACAAGTTGTACAATCCAGACAATAAGAAGTTTGTGATTAGTCGAGATGTGGTCTTCAACGAAGAAGGAGAATGGGATTTTAACTCTCATACAGATGACTTCAATTTCTTTCCTCAATTTGAAGAAGATGAGCAGAAAATGAGGGAACAACTAGATGAATCTCAACAAGAGCTTGCAACTCCACCCACTTCACCAACATCAACCACTCAAGGAGATTCATCACCTTCATCTTCGTCAAGTGGGAGTCAAAGTGAAATAGTTGTGCAACGCACAAGAAGCCTTAGAGATCTCTATGAGGTAACTGAACGACAATACAATCTTACATTATTTTGTCTGTTTGCTGATTGTGAACCAGTGAGCTTTCAAGAAGTGGTACAAGAAAAGAAATGGAGAGATGCGATGGACGAAGAAATCAAGGCCATCGAGAAGAATGACACATGGGAACTTACCTCACTTCCCAAGGGACATAAGGTGATAGATGTCAAATGGGTGTACAAAACAAAGCAAAATGCCAAAAGAGAGATTGAAAGGCACAAGGCGAGGCTAGTTGCTAAAGGCTATAGTCAAAAGGCTGGAATTGACTATGATGAGGTATTTGCTCCTGTTGCTCGATTGGAGACTATCAGACTAATCATTTCTTTGGCAGCTCAAAACAAGTGGAAGATACATCAGATGGATGTAAAGTCTGCCTTCCTAAATGGAGTTCTTGAAGAGGAAGTTTACATTCAGCAATCATCAGGCTACGAAGTCAAAGGGCACGAAGACAAGGTGTTGAAGTTGAAGAAGGCTCTTTACGGGCTAAAACAAGCACCAAGAGCATGGAATAGTCGAATTGACAAGTACTTCCAAGAGAATGGCTTTAATAAATGTCCCTACGAGCACGCTCTATATATCAAAATCAAAGATGGAGATATTTTGATCGTATGCCTCTACGTGGACGATTTGATCTTCACCGGAAGCAACCCAAACATGTTTAATGAATTCAAGGATGTGATGATGAAGGAATTCGAGATGACAGACATGGGGCTCATGGCGTACTACCTTGGCATTGAAGTTAAGCAACAAAAGGATGAAATTTTCATTTCATAGGAAAGCTATGCAAAGGAGATACTGAAGAAGTTCAAGATGGAGAACTGTAAGCCAATAAGCACACCGTCAGAATACGGGATCAATATGACCAAACATGAAGAATTCTTCAAAAGTTTGGTGGGAAGTCTACGTTATCTAACTTGCACAAGGCCCGATATTCTTCACGCAATTATATTGGTTAGTCGCTACATGGAATCTCCAACAACCACTCATTTTAAAGCTGCAAAGAGAATTCTTCGCTATCTGAAAGGTACAATTGATTTCGGCTTGTTCTATTCAGTTTCTAATGATTACAAGCTTGTTGGATATAACGACAGTGATTGGGGTGGAGACATAGATAATCGAAGGAGCACTACTGGATTCGTATTTTTCTTGGGAGATACTGCTTTCATATGGATGTCAAAGAAATAACCGATTGTCACATTGTCCACTTGTGAAGCGGAATATGTTGCTGCTACCTCATGTGTTTGTCATGTAATTTAACTTAGAAATCTATTGAAGGAGATAGGTTTGATACAAGAAGAGCCTACCAAGGTTTGTGTCGACAACAAATCAGCCATTGTCTTATCAAAGAATCCAGTATTCCATGATCGAAGCAAGCACATCGACATTCGTTATCACTATATAAGGGAGTGTGTTGCAAGAAACGATGTGGAAGTTGAATACGTGAAGTCACAAGATCAAGTTGCTGAAATTTTTACCAAGCCACTGAAAAGTGAAGACTTCATAAGATTAAGGAACTTACTAGGGGTCACAAGATCAAGTTTAAGGGGGGTGTTGGATCATAAACTTGATCCATTATAGGAGCCTAAACCCAAACCCAAACTAAATTGATGGCATTGCTTACCTCATTTAAGTACAGATGTCATTGCTTACATCATTTAAGTAAAGATGTCATTGCTTACATCATTTAAGTAATGATGTCATTGCTTACATCAATTTAGTTAGGTGAGAGTTGGGTATTTGTTGAATTTGTAATGGTTTAAATTAGTTTATTTGTGTGGTGTAGGATTGTTCTTGAGCAGTATAAATATCCCTCCCCATTGTGTGGTGTAGGATTGCTCTTGTAATATTTGTTTGAGTTTCAATAAAAGTTGTTTGTGTGAGTGTTTTATTTCCAACAACTAGAGGTTTGTGACAAGGTTCTTTTTCGAGGAGATGATATTGTTATGTACAAGGGATTAAGAGAGAGTAATCAAGTCGATAATCATAGACATTACAGTTGTACAAGAGAACACGTGTCAAGAAAGCGGCAAAGATATTGGATGGATTTATGCATTGAGTTAGTTGTTTAGTTCTCTTCTCTAATTCCTCTTGCTTCTCTATCTCTTTCTCTATTTTCTTCTACTTCCTTCTTTGAGATTGCAGATCTGTTCCTAACAGATTTTGAGCATATGTTTGCAGGTTGAGCGAAAGAGGTTTGGACTTTGGAGGCTGGCTGGATATCGTGTTTTCCATCATAGTTTCCTGGCTTCTTTTGAACAACCGTTAGCAGCGTCAGGATCAGCTGGTTTTGAGCGAACATGTGCTATGTCTCGGAGTATCCGGTTTGCACGAAACCAGCTGTTATGACAACATGAATCATTGTCGCCTGAAGCTATTGTTGGCGTTGTTGATACGTGCCTAGCTAATCGGAAAACTGCTAAGAGTATGTTCGATCGAATTCAGGCTGTTCAAGGGTTCCTTGTGCAAGATTGAGCCGATCAAAAGGTCCGGTCAAAAGGCACCTTAAAGAGTACTGTTGATGTGGGCGTTTCGCAGGTAGAGAATGCCACTGCCTTTCTGTTGTGGGTGACAAAAGGGGTACAATTATGATGTTGTCGTTCATCATGACTACTGTTCCCATTTCTACCCATGATGCTACAGATGATGGTGCAATTGATGTTGCATATCATCGTGACCCCTCCCACTCCCATACATGATGCAACAGCTGATGATGATGAATCTGTTGTCATTGTGCATCACGTCCTCACTGTTCCGAATACAACAGCCAACGATGATAAAAATTCTGATGTCACTGCTATCCTACAATCAGCGGATCCTAGGTCTAATGGCGCTACTAGTTCAAATGTGAACTGACATCACATGGTTAGCAAGAATGGAATTGTGAAACCTAAAGTATTACTGCAGAAGATCCAGGAGATATTCATACAACCATGACGAGTCCTTTTGTGGCAAGCTGCAATAACAGACGAGTTAGCTGCTTTAGTAAAGAGCAGACATTGCCTTTAGTTCCTAAACCAGCTGTTATGTGAAGTCATTGGAAGCTTCATTAGGTTGATGTTAATAATGCACTCTTGAATTTTGACTTAACGGAGGATGTATTTATGTCGCAAACGCCGGGGTACAAGCAAGTGAACTCCTCAAGCCAGCCATTGGTATGCAAACTCAATAATGCTATGTATGGGTTACAACAGGCTCCACGTGTATGGTTTGAGAAACTTCAAGCATTCCTGCCATCTTATCCGACATATCTGTCTCTTTCTATAAGCATTATGGAGACAGGCAGTTGTTTTTTATGGTGTACATCGATCGCATTCAGTGTCAACAAAATCGGCCTGTACATCCAGCAACCTCTAGACACACTGAATATCTGTTAAGCGAATCTTAAGGTACTTGAAAGGTACACAATGTTGAGGACTATTATTTCAGCCTTCTATGACAACACAACTACATGTCTATCTGATGCTGACTGGACTAGTTCGGTTGAGGATCGACGTTCAACTTCTGGCCACTGTAGTTTTGTATCTAGATCAACAGCCTTGCAAATACTACCAGTGAACTTGTATGGGTCAAGTCATTATTAAATGAAGTAGAAATCAAGTTAGATGCCTTAAGAGTTGTTTGGTGTGATAATTCGATTTCTGTTGCCATTGCTGCAAATCCAGTTCTCCATGCTGGCATGAAACAGGTTGAGTTTGATATTCACTTTGTACGAGAAAATGTTACAAATGGAGAGTTTCAAGTTGAGCTAGAAATTTAACATCACCAAACAAATAGATCTTTTCAAATGAGATCACCAGCTTTACAAAATATCTTTACAACAATTATAATTACAGTGAACTAATAGTAGCTTATCTACCTTCATCAATGGAAGAATACGACATGGAATTCCTTGAATAATCTTCCACAAAACTGCTTCCAGCCGATACCTTTGTGACACCGGTATGGGTGCTACTTGCATTAGTATTAGTAAAAGCCGAGGTGGACGTGGTTGTCCACCGTCCTACACGGCCTTGGACTGCAGGTTTACCTGGCCTCGGCAAAGTGAACGAATCGCTCGATAGCATGAGATGAACTGAGTTCATGTCTGGCCTCTCGGAAACAGTCTGCTGACAGCATAACAAGCCCAGCTGAATGCACATTGCTGCCTCGTCAGGATTGTATTCCTCAAGGGAGGAATCAACTAAATCCAATGACTTTCGTCCTTGGAATAGTAGCCATGACTGTATGAAAAAAGCCAGAATTATTGTCAGAATTCGACACTCAAACAAAAGAACGCATCCGATACAGGTATGGATAACTCTCTCTAAGCTTTTTCATATCTCCATATCCATTTTCTGGATACGAATGTCGGACATGGGCAGTAATAGTCGGAGCAAAATAATTCATAGTTCATCTGTATTATAGCAACATCGTAGGCTTAAATCCAGATATCCGAGCAGGCCATAGGTGTAAGACGCTGGTGGCACAACCGTAGGTTGTTATGCTACAGTTCAAAATAATCCATAATGTATGCTGATAAAATTTATCTAAGCAGCTAGCTTAATTATGCAGTTATGTTTATCTTCAGTTCTGCATATTAAAAATTCCATATTACTTTTGCATATTTAGGATAACATTAAATTAATGTTCCTATAAGTGTAAGGCCACCTGCCCACCTGAAAAGCAGAATTCTAGAACTATATAACAAGATTTGAGAATTTACATCAGTTTTTTCCTACGAATTTAACTTACATAATTCAAGAGGTCTGCCTTCTCTGAACCAAGACGGTTATCATGGTTTTTTCTCCCACTTACTATCTCCAAGACCACAACTCCATAGCTGAAAACATCCGTCTTCACAGACAAATACCCATGCATGGCATATTCAGGTGCCATGTAACCACTGCATGCAATGGGAGGGTTTACTTATGTTAATCTTTCTTAGCCAACAACAAAATTAGAGCAGATAAAACTTGAAAGAAAATTACCCTAATAAGCTTAAAGATGCAATTACATTTATATAAGAATATGACGGAAAAAGGAGCAAATAAACTACTCACTGAGTGCCAGAAATCCTAAAGGTATTTACATGAGTGTCATTCCCGGGAAAGAGCCTTGCCAAGCCAAAATCAGAGATTTTGGGGTTCAATTGTTTATCCAACAGTATATTACTGGTTTTGATGTCTATATGGATGATTCTTTCAGGCGCCTCCTCATGCAGGTATAGAAGACCTCTTGCAATGCCAGATATAATCTTGAATCGTGTTGCCCAATCTAAAGAAGGAGACTTGCTCTTATCTGAGACGTTTAGTTGCAATTATGAGTCTTAATTTACCACACAAATGATAAGACTTGGAGTTCATAAGTTTACCTAGCAACAGAAGTTAATGCCACGTATAAAAGGGTTCTTACCAAAGAGAAAGTAATCAAGGCTTTTATTTGGCAAATACTCATAAACAAGCATCTTCTCAGGTCCTTCGGCACAGCACCCCAACAACATCACTAAGTTCTTGTGCTGGGTTTTCAGTAAAAGTTTCACCTCATTAATGAATTGTTTCAGTCCCTGTCTCGAATCCAATGCAAGTTTCTTGACAGCTATTTCCTGACCATTTGGCATCAAACCCTGGAAGATATAAGCTGAAATGAGAATAATTCACAACAGTTTCCAATCATTAACATTCCTCTCAACCCAAGCAAAAAAAGTAAGATGGCACTCACAATAACCAAATATAAAAACTAGAGCTCTTTGACTGAAGGCATCATAAGGATGAAGCCATAAAGGAAGGGCTAACTAAAGTTACTCTCTTTAATTATATTGTCTCTTGAAGATTTAGGGGGCATTGTTGGATGTATGACAGTTAAAGAGAGTAAACAGGTAAGATAATGGAAAACCAACTAAAGCGGCATTGTAGTATAGAGCTTCCCACACACAACATAACATTCCGTCAATGAATCAGCATAAAGTTGCACACAAAAGCAACGAGGAACCATTAGATAAAAAGAATAAACATCAATAGATGGATGCAGTAACAAATTCGAGATTAACATCTTCATTGGATTGCAAAAACAAGATTTGCTCTAATTTAGTTTCATTCTATTCTAGACCATAAGCTCAAGCTCCCACTAAATAAATATTGCATAAAGATCGTGGGTAATGCAAAGAATCCCAGAGTAAGTAGGAACAGTTCAGCTTGGTCCAATTCGATTAGTCTGTGTTTCATTTAGACACAATTCTATCAGAAGAATATTTTGGAGCTCAATTCTACCTTTTTGAGAAGAGTAGTACCAAATGATTTCCACTTCGATATTTGAGTGAATAAAGGATTGTGTTAACCTTGGGGGCAACGTCCATTTCAACGATTACACCAATTAAGACCGATTCTTCAAAGCAATAATTCATACCCGACACAGTTAATGTTAATGTTTATTTTGCAGTAGTTTTATTTTTCCAACAAAGATCACATGCTTATGATTAGGTCTAAATTCCAACCTTCGAAAAGTGATGGAAACAAATAATTGACTGCTCATTGTACACTGGAATGTCATATAAGTGGCATAAGCCTAAGAAATTTTCCAGTATGAGAGCATTTAGTTGGGTAGGTAACGCATGAGGTATTATCTGAGGTTTACCTTATAGAAAATATGAAAATTACTTAGAATATATAAGAATTTAAAATTTTCAACAATCATCCATGACCGTTCCCTCTATCTATCACTAAGTTCAAGGATTTAAGGCCACCAGAAGCTCCTTAACAGCTCTTTACACTATAAAAAACTTTGTTACATAAAGAGATACTAGGGCTACATCTTCGACCTTTCTCAACAAACAAAGCTCAAATCCCAGATTCAGGAAAAAAAAAAAAGATAAACAACCTTTGTGATTATCGTAAGAGAAAATAACTTCAGTGACCGAAAATGCCTTATAATATACGATTTTAATCAACTTTTTTGGATTTGCGAAAATGACTAACAAATTCGCAACGCAAACTCTAATTTCGCAACACAGGTTCCAAAATCGCAACGCGAAAGTCAAATTCACAACGCAAATAGTTAAATCGCAACGATAATATGTAATTCGCAACGCGAATGTTGCGAATAGGTAAATCGCAACGATAATATGTAAATCACAACGCAAATTCTCCAAATTCGCAACTCGAATTTCGCAACGCTAATTATCGATATAGATAATTAGCGTTGCGAAAACAAAATTCGCGTTGCGATTTTGGAGAATTGCGTTGCGAAAACGAAATTCGCGTTGCAATTTTGGAGAATCGCGTTGCGAAAACGAAATTCGCGTTGCGATTTTCCAAATTCGCAACGATGATATGTAAATCGCAACGCGAATTCTCCAAATTCGCAACTCGAATTTCATACCGCTAATTACCTATAATTAGCGTTGCGAAAACGAAATTCGCGTTGCGATTTTGGAGAATCGCGTTGCAAATTTCGTTTTCGCAACTTGAATTTCGCAACTCTAATTACCTACTTCGGTAATTAGCGTTGCGAATAGGTAAATCGCAACGCGAATTCTCCAAATTCGCAACTCGAATTTCGCAACGCCAATTACCGATATAGGTAATTAGCATTGCGAAAACGAAATTCGCGTAGCGATTTTCCAAATTTGCAACGCGAAAGTCAAAATCGCAACGCGAATAGTTAAATCGCAACGATAATATGTAATTCACAACGCGAATAGATAAATCGCAACGATAATATGTAAATCGCAACGCGAATTCTCCAAATTCGCAACGCTAATTACCGATATAAGTAATTAGTGTTGCGAAAATGAAATTCGCGTTGCGATTTTGGAGAATCGCGTTGCGATAGTACTGTTTACCTATATCGATAATTAGCGTTACGAATTTGACTTCTGTGTTGCGATTTACATATTCGCATTGCGATTTACCTATTCGCGTTGCGATTTACCTATTCGCGTTGCGATTTTGGAACTTGTGTTACGAAATTGGAGTTCGCGTTGCGAATTTATTGGTCATTTTCGTAAATCCAAAAAATATTGATTAAAATCGTATATTATAAGACATTTTCGGTCACTGAAATTATTTTTTCTTATAGTAATTCTAACCAACAACTCAATGCAAATTTGTGCACTAAACTTTTTATAATTAATGAGCCCTTGGCATATGCTAGGCAGCCTATACACATTGGGATTATCAAATGATTTTGATTCAGTATTACAACAATATTACTTTATTTGTTCTAAATTACTACGGTGCTGGACTGGGGTTATTAAACCACAAACAAAAAAGCCAAAATTACGGAATTTGCAATTATTTATTTATTTCCCCACGACTGATTAATTATTATATTCATAAGTTTCAAATAAAAAAACCATTTATAATTAGGGATGGCAAAAAAATATCCGACGGTAAAAATCGAAAATTAAATTAAACGAGACAGGAAAAATCGTTTATGATAAACGGAGACGGAAAAAAACTGTTTACGTTAAACAGGGACGAGGACGGATTTAGTAATCTCCACCCCGATTATCCGATTATCCGACCTGATAAAATAATAAAAATAATTATTTTATATATATATATATATATAATATTAATAAATTTAATTTAAATTAAAATATATATATAATATTTTATATATTTAATTTAAATATATATACCCGATCCGATACCTTTTAAATAACCGTTTATGTTAAACGGATATATGTATCCTCGCAGTTTTTCCCGATTAGGATCCCGTTTAAATTATGCGAATTTTTAAACGGGGACGAGAACAGATTTTTTAAACGAGGATGGGAGACTAATACCCGACCCATCCCTATTTATAATTAAATAAATTTGAATTGAAACTGCTTTTTAGCTTAATAAACAATAGCAACAGCGACAAGAATCTAAAAATTATAATAAATATTAACTAGAAAAAATATTATAAATCGCAAACGGCCATAAAGAAAAATAAAAATTCAGCGAATAAGTCAAACGAAGGAAAAAATGACATGAAGAGAAACGTACCTTGTAGACGGGACCAAATCCACCATGACCGAGGCGATTAAGTTCAGAGAAGTAGTTAGTAGCAATCTGGAGAGCACGGAGTTCGAAGAAAAGGCCGTGAGCGTCGGATCCGTCGTCAGTTCCGCCTTCAGCGTCGGAGCCACTTCGAGCGGCTTTGAAGCGTTTATCGATACAAGCAAAGAGTTTAGCCCAGAATCCCATGAAGGAATGGGCAGGCCCTAGGGAATAGCGAAGGTCGTCGTTGTTGTCCAGGTAGAGGTGTACGGAAGAGGGAAGCGAGCATGAAGAAGAGAGAGAAGTTTTCTTGCCGCGTTGTTGTTTGGTAAAGAGGATTGACTTGGCTGGCAACTTAAAGACGGAAATTGTATTGATTTTTCCACTCACCAAACAAACCATTTATTGAATGACTATAAACAATAACAAAATCTATAAAAATTGACCGAAAATATTATTAAATGATATCAGTTTTATTATTATTTGATGTTTTATTGGATTTAGTAAAAATAATTAAAAATATTATTAGGCGTTACAAGTTTTATTATTGTTAAATATTTTTATTGAAAATGTTAAAAAATTTTATGTTTTAGGTAAAAATAATAATATTTTAGTAATTTTTTTACCGATTTTATTATTTAAACAATAACAAAATCGGTAACGTTTTATTTTAGCCTTACATTAAGGTATCGAACTGTAAAACTTCCAATACACTATTGGTCGCTAAATTGATTGAATATATTTTAGGTAAGTTATATCATGATCTTTAACTCTCATCTTTTTTTTTCATTTAATTATTAATTATTTAATTTTTCAATCAAATCGTTTAACTACTTAAATACATTAATTAAGTTATTTATAATTAATATTTAACAAAATATTGATGTGATAGTTAATAAATCAAGATATATTCTAAAATAAACCATAGGTAAGTTATACTATTGATTATTTAATTATTTATTAGTTTTATTTTAATTATTGATCTTTTAATTATGCACCACTTAATAGTTTAATTATATCTTATCAAATCATTTGCCTTTATTATTTAATAGGAGTGTTGACGTTATAATTAACTAAAAATATTATATCAATTTAATTCTAATTTAATTTAATAAATTTAATCATCTAATCATATGACATATATCATTATTTGATTTGTGATTTTTTTTATAATTTTAATTTATTTAATATAATATTTTTTGTCCAACTAAATAATGATACGTATAAAGAAATAGGATAAGAGAGGATCTAACGATTACCATTGAATCAAACATTTTATTTAATATCTGGTTTATACAATCTTATATATGACCTATATTTTGGTTATTACCAAAAATAAAATTAAAATAAAGAAAGAAAACTAACTGTTAGGATATAGTTATTTGAACCGAGGCAAATTACATAATTAGACAACACCACCAAAACAAATATATATTTATTGATTTAAACGTGGATAAATTTTTATATATACTTTAAATTTAAGTTAATATAATATTAAAAAAGAAAATAAATTAAAGATTTTTATATTTTTAAATTAAATTTAATAGTTCTTCTTTATAAAATACATATCAATTTATCATAAAATTCTATTGTTCTATTATCTATATGGTTGAATGCAAAATATCCAAATAGAATGCATAAATAATTATCTTCAAGTTTTAACCATTTTAAATTAATCTATTCATCGTTACTTACCGAGTAAATTATAGCGGTGACTACTTAACTATAACCCCTTTTTATTTTGACTACTAGTTTTGAACTTTTATCAATCGAGTCATCTAACTATTTAAACACATTCAATCAAGTCACTTGCCATTAATACTTAACAGAAGTGTTGACATAGTAGGTAGTAAAATTGGTATAATTACATATTTGATCACTCTTACTTTATATATTCTATCAATTTGGTCTTAATTTTAATAAATTAAAATGAAATTAATCTTCCAATCAGATGGTGTCATGTGTCACCATTCAATTTGATGATTAAATTTATTTTAATTTAATATATTTATTTTCTACCAATCAAAGGATAACACGTGTCACCCTCAGGAAAGAAAATTAAAGCACCAAAGGGGGGTGGGGCGCATTGGACTTGAACTAGGTCACTTGGGAGAGACTCAACCACTAGGCCAAGCTAATTGTTTGATTCAAAGTAGGCCAAGCTATTTCTGTTAACAATCATGCTAAACTCTTTGCTACGAAAAAATAAATATTGTTCTTGATGATCACAATTACTTGCTGTGGCATCAACAAGTTTTCTTAACTATCAAAACACATAGGTTGCAACGTTATATAGATAGCAATATTGTTGCTCCTCCTCAGTACATAACTGTTGATAATCAGCTTTGTGTGAATCTTGACTTTGAAGCTTTTGAGGAACAAGATGGAGCTTTAGCTTCTTGGCTCCTTTCTACTATTAGTGAGAACGTTCTACCTCACTTGATTGGCTTGAATATGGCTGCCGAAATATGGAATACGTTGCATAGGATTTATAGTGGAAAAACTACTTCTCATCTAATATACTTTAGGAGATTGCTTCACACTCAAAGGAATGATGAATCGAGCATGAGAGATTTTTTCTTAAAAATTAAGTCTATATGTGATAACTTCACTAATTGTGGCGAAATCATCTTTGAGCATGAGTATGTGACTGCGATTTTGAATGGTCTTCCACCTGAATATGAGTATGTTATTACTGTTCTAACTGTCGGATTTGTTCCCTCTAATGTCAGTGTTGTGACCATTGTTTTGCTAAATGCAGATGCAAGACAAACCAATTTAAATAATCATGTTGTTGCTTCAGCACATGTTACTCTCTACTAGGGTAGTCAGAGTACTCCTGCTATCCTATAATACATGTTAGAATTTGTTATCAAAATTTTATATTGATCTCGTATGAAAAGTTTATAATGAGATTTATTTGATAAAGAAGTATTTTTTATTAGAAATTTTATTTCCAATTATAAATTTAATATTTTTATTAAATTTTAAAAAATAATACATAACTTTATTTGTTAAGTTTTAGTCATAACAAGTAAACTTTATATTATTTTTATTATAAATATAATATTTTTAATAAATTATTAATTTTATTTAAATTAATTTATTATTATCATTTAAATTAAAGTAAATTTCCATACATATATTCAAAATCAAAATAGATTTCATTATTTAAGTTGAAGTATAATTTTATTTATATAGAATTTATTTTATATATTATTTTCAAATACTATATATATATATATATTCAAAGTCAAAATAGATTTCATTAACTTCTATTCGGATTGCTTTTGGGTTGGATTAAATTCGGTTCAGGTTGCTTTTAAATCGGGTTAAATTTGGTTCGGATTAATTTTGGTTCGGGTTAATTTTGGTTTTGGTTCAGGCTAATTTCGGTTTTGCTAAATTTTGGATCGGGTCGGGTATTGGATCAAATTTGATTATCATTGTTGAGTTAATCGATTGACGAAATTGGCCAAGAGGGGGTGAATTGGCAATTAAAAATTTGGTGGAAGCTTTTGCAGAAAATTGAAAGTAATTGCACAGCGATTTAGAGTGGTTCGACTTTCTCAATCAAAGTCTACGTCCACTACCTTAGCTATCCACACTAAACATTTTCCAACAAATTCACTAATTTGTTCTTTCTTTTGAGGCCAAAGAGATAACCTTACAATACCCTCAAGAATATACCCCAATTCTTGAGAACACTCTTTCCCAAAGAGAAGATTACAAATTTGCAAACTTACAAGGAAAACCTCTCAAGGTAAGATGTTTGCACAATTCTAGAACAAGAAAAGAACACTCACAAATAATTACAAACGAGCACAAATACTGTTCTTTGAAAGCAAAATGAATATTGAAAGGAAAATTGGCTTGATTTGCACAAACTTGGTGTTTGATGCTTTCTCTCTTGTTTCTCTATAATTTCTTATTGATCTAGGGCTTCAGAACTTGTTTAAATACACCTTGAATCACTTCTGAACGTTGGGGATGATTAGTGAAGATCATATAGCCGTTTTAGTGTGAAAACAATTAATAAAACAGCTTGGAGTGTGGGGGGAATCGGTACCCCCTATGGGCAATCGGTTCCCTAACTGTAAAATTCAAATATTTAGACCGTTATACAAGGGGGGAATCGGTACCCCATGGGGCGGAATCGGTTCCCTCCGAGCATACTGGAATTCTCGGAGCCAAACCATTCATGGGGGAATCGGTACCCCCTTAGGGGGGAATCGGTTCCCTCTGAGCAATCTGGAATTTTTGGCTTTGAAATGGTTTGAAATACTTTGTAAAATTATTTTGAAATTGTTTTAAGATTAAAACTTAATTTTACACTTTGAGTAAGGATTAAAAATGATCTTTGAAAGATTTAGAGTAATGTTTTGATATTCGAATAATTTTATCGAATATACTTAGAAAATCATTTGGAAAATCTTAAAATTCATTTAACTTAATTTGTTATATCGAAATATCAAAATGTTTTCAACAATCTCCCCCTTTTTGATATAACAAAAACATTTTAGTAATTTTAAGATTTTGAAATCAAGTTTTGAAATTACTCCCCCTTACTTTATCACTTCTCCCATTTATCATTTAAAAACACTTTAACACTTCTCCCCCTTTTTGTTAAATCAAAAAGACATTTTAAAGAATTTAAACAAGGTTTTGAAATCAGTTAGTCAATTGATTATATATAATATAAGCTGCTAAGATCACAAGCAAGAGAAACGTTAGCCATTAGTTTCATAATCAATATTCATAATTAATGTGAAATGGCAAAATTGGTCATATATCTAATCATGAAGTAAATGATGCAATAATTTAATCACACCAAATAGATAATTTCTAACCATTCATAAATCCAAACAAATTCAAAGTCAATCCACAAATTCAAACATTCCAAAATATTCAAAATGTTAAAACAATAAGTTTGGAGTTCAAAGCAAAACGAGCTCGCATAGCGGCCATTTCGTTAGTGAGGTCATTAATACGTGCGTTGGTTGCTTCATTATTTGCATGCATTTCCCGAAGAATTTCTAATTGTTGAGCTCCCATTGTGGATAAATGGGACTCTATAGAAGTAAAGCGCGAATCCATAGTAGCGTATCGAAAATCGAATGTCTCCATAAAGGATTGGAAATATGGAGGCATTGGATTCGTTTGTTGTGCTTGCTCTTCGGGCTGCTCCTCGGGCTGCTCAGGCTCATCTTCGGCTTCATCGATGTCTCGAATTAATTGCTCAAGCTTGAGATCTTCGTCAGCTTCGGGTGGAGCTTGTGAAGAACTAGCTCCCGGAGTATTTGCAGAAGATCAAACCCATTCACCGGTTTCCTTATCCTTA